ACTTGGTCCAAAAATTCAAAAACCCGGATAGACGTGCTACTAGGGGCCAAAAGCAAATGCTGATCTCGTGGATTATTCACATGAATCATCACTCAGACACGCTTAGTGCACCGTGTATCTGTTACCCTCCCCTCGTCACCGTATAGAGGGACGATATGATTTAAGTGGCTCCGACGACGTCGAATAGACACGGACGGATGGACGGGACAGTCGTCAGTATAATTATTTAATTGTCAGGACTTGTAATTATTGACGTCACGTTATTTCGTCCAAATTCTCCGAGCGACAATAAATTGTGTCAAATATGTATTATGCATTATATTGTTGTGCTGCAGACGTCATTGTTGCTATATTATACATCGACATACATAAATGACAGTTTCTCGTCTAGTTGCCATTACTTTAACGTACATATAATAATAATAATATGATGGTTATCGAATTACAGCAGTTTTTTTCCGCACTGTTAATAATATAATGAACAACAATTACACGCACTGCGATAGCTCATCAATTACAGGATAGATAATGCTTTAAAATTTTAAAGTAGTGTTAAAGAAATTCGCGAACAAGTTTAAACGGTAATTATATTTCCATCGCATCTACGAAGAAACTATATGCGATGTCCTACATTACCTATAACTATATTTTCCGGATTACATTTTTTTTAACCACCTAAAACATCAAATGTGATTATTATAAATTACACTTAATGTTAATTCGTTACACTCACTTCAATGAATTCATTGCTATTTTTAAGTATAGAAGGTACTTTCGTGAACTGTTTTAGTGCAAATCATAAATAATAATAATAATAATGTCGTTCAAGATTGTGACCTTTTCAGTAATTATTTGAAAAATATGTTACATTAACGCTTTCTAAAAACTTTTGTTATGAGATCGTAATTTTAATGTTCATTCGAGTCTTGACGCAAATGTTTGAGAAGATTTAAAAACCATAGTTATTTAAGTTTAAAATTTATTACGAAGATAAAATGCCTATTTTTATAATTCATTTCGTTCTCTAAACGTAATATAATGTTCAAAAATATTATCGAATAAAAACTGGCATCAACTTTTACTATATAGAAAAATAATTTTTCTTAAGTGTTTTAACGATGTAACATAACTATAGATAAATACGACGCCATGTTAGTCACGTATCTATCGTTTATTTTACCAACTGAAGTACCTTTTGATATTAAGAATTGTTATTGATTTTATGTCAAAATCGAATTCATATTGACTTCAGGTGATTTTAAATTATGTTAGTGCCCAGGAATTAGGGGATGTTATTAAAATTTATTTTTTAATCCAACGAAAATTTTTGAAACATTGTGTTTAAAAGTAAGATACTATTTTAAGTTATTTTTTTTAATTAAATGTCTAAAAAAGCATTATTATAGTTAAAAAAAATAAAATTAACTAAATTTTATGTGGTTTTTAATTAACACGGATCTTGAAGAATTCAACGCTATTGCATTTGTTATATGCCTATAAACCAGACTTTTAATGTACATTTTAAAATAAATTATTTGTGAAAGTATATAAAATAAAATGAACATAAGTTTAATTTTACATGACAGGCTTTCATGTGTATTATAAATTATTTGTTTATTTTCAAGTGTTCGGAAACATTTGGTGGCCGCTCATGTATAAAGGTACTAAGGGTACATCGCGATGTTTTAATTATTTTTAAGTGGATTGATAGTATTTTTTCTACAGTCTCCAAAATTTAAAAATAATATAATATGGCGGGATGGCTTTTAAATATTTCTTCACTTTTAAAGAAAATTATTTGAGGAAATTATAATCCATAATTTATTAAAATACCATAACAAGATCCACCTATAAGTATTTTAAAAATAATTTACGCCTTGTCTAAAATCATTAAAAATAATAATATGTATTTTGTTTGTGTTATATACTTGATATATATTTAATTTCAGTTGTACAAGTTTTGTAAGTATATGTAAGTCGTATTTTTATAATTTAAAATTCAGGAAATAATAATATAGGTACTTACCTATACATTTTCTACGATGAAATGTGTATCATTTAACGACATTTCTTGTGCTTTATTGATTATCTGATAATAAAATAAATAAATTTCACATTTAATCAAGTTTTAGTAAAAAATTAACCATGTAATTTAAGTATCTATGTTTATTTTGTTTTTATTGAGTACACTTTGTCTGGGAAAATTCTAAATATACAAATTAAATATCATGTCTACGTATGGTAGCATATTAAATAAAACATTTATATCATAAATTTAATTGTCATTGTGATTAAGATTTAAGAGCACAGTAATAGTTGTAGTTTTAATTTCTTTAATTTGATATTTTATGATTTATTTATATATATATATATATTATTTGTATTAATTTTTTATTTATTTATACACATTTTAGTTGCATTTGTTAATAATAAACGTCGAAAGTCAGACAAGTTAATTTATTTAATAATCATGTAATTTATCATCCCAATTATTATTTATTAATTCCTAGAAGTAATACCATTGTTTTATTGATAATTGAAAACTTTTTTTATCATCTATTTTGCATTTATTATATTCGTAATTCATCAATTATATTCATAAAAATAAATATGACAAAATAATAATTAATATCGTCTTCATATACTATAGTACGCCTGAGTCCATATAAGGCCAATTTATTTATGTTTTGTGTCTTGTGAATATCGTTATTGACCCTTCGTATACTGTAAAGGAATTTCTAAAAATATACTGCACATTTTTTCTTTTATCCCAAGTTTGGGATCTACTGTTATTTATACGACAAATATATTCCTCTCCGGTGTGTTCTATCCGTCATAAGTACATGTTGGTTTTAAATTTTCAAAAAATAACCATAACGTTATGATTTTTAATATAATTGTATTCGCGTGGGAAGGGGAAAAATATCGTTACTTGTTCGGAGGCACAATGGGCCTGGTTTCGGGATTCTGTGGCGCCAGACAAATACAGCATTAATATTTCGGAGAGGTGTTTAAAAAATATATAAACTCACATAAATATGTATAACTTGCCCTCTTCTAAACCATAGTCTATGTCGTTCTCTCGAATATTTGTAAACAATTTCACCCTAATTTTTATATTGTTCGTAAGCATAATATGTTATTCAACCGAATAGCAATTACTATTTATTTAAAATGCTACGTATTATTTACTTGGCTATTAAGCGTTTGATAACTCGTAAAACTTAATGTATTAATGATGTTTGAATTCCTCTGTATCATTGTATTCTTTGAACGATCAATGGATATGTGAGTATAATGCGTTTGTACGTAGATATGTAATATGTTAATGTACTGGTTGACGTTTACTGTAGGATAATGTTATGTACTCAGCGACAATGACGTCTTAAAACGATGATCGACGATTTTATAAAGTTTATTTATTCGGCTTCACTATAAAGTATTTGTAAGATTTTTGTTTCTATAATTGTATATTTATTTTTTATCAACCATATTTCACTTTGGATGATTGTAGTTTAAAATACAAAAGGGAATATGAAAAGAACAATTATTTTTTTTTGTGTATGTTTTTTTTTAGGGTTTTTAGTTTACTTCACGGCTGGTTTTGACAATGGTTATTGAAATTTAGAAGAGTAACCCCGGTGTCTTGGGAAAGAAAGATATATAGTGGGTTGTAGCTAGGAGGAAACGTGGGACGTACCGGAAACGATGTATCTTGTATATTCACGGCTGCTCCTACATTATATTCAGTGTTGCCAAAACATTTAAAATAGAGCTTTAATTTTGCGAAATGATCACGTATGCTAATAAATATAATTTGATTAAATAAATTATTATTGAATTAATTTAATAAATATCTACTCAAAACATAATGTTTGATAAACATGAGTTATTGACATGCAATACAATAAATTGATTTGATGAGTACCTACATACTATATTGTGTTGTGTCTCAATTTATTGAAATGCTGATTAAAACTAAAATAATTTAAGTCAGAAATGGGATACTGGAACCTCAGTTGTTTACACTTTTACAGGTTATTAAAAATTATGATTAGTTTGTGATTTTCATTTGTAAACATTCTAAGAACGGTGAAATGTGTAAAGAATGCTAATTGCTAAGTCACGACATCTGAGAGATTAAATATTATCAATTTTGTACTTGATCAAAAAAAAAAAAAAAAAAATCAAGAATAATATACGCATTCAAAATAATATTATTACGTTTTACTTACACAGGAATTTGTTATTATTCTTTTATTAAGATAGTAAAGTATTTATCATCTGATATAAGGTAAGCCACGTGCGTGATTTACAAGCAATACTTTTTGAATCCTCAAAATGTTTATTTATCATCTCAGTAAAACGTTTATATCCATATAATTTATTTTATTGTACCTATCAGTTATAAATTATAACTAATAGAAATTGATATACTGTAATTGATATTTACATGGTATACTATACAATCTAAATGGTAAAAATAGTATCTATACAATTTTATTATCACGTATTTATACTTTTTAAATATTTTTTCATGTATTAATAACATATAAGTCATATTATATTATCTATAAATATTTTTAGTTTTTACTATTACAATTATAAAACATAAAAATAAGTATCTACTAAATTAATCCCATTTATATTTTTAAGTCTAATTAATATAAAATAAATTATTATTATTTATTAAATATAAAAGTAAACTATAATGTTGTAATTATTTATAACATTGTATTTTTTTGATATTTTTTTTTTTGCCCAATATTGTATTATGACATTGTATACGTAATACGTTTTCATAGTTAATTTTGTTTCATTCTGTTTTAAATTGCATTTTACAATTGACGTTATCATCACTTGTCAATACTTTGAAATAAGAAAACTATTGAACACGTGTAAGTTGTGTAGTGATCGATTACTAATTAAATGTTAAAAACATAGTTTAAAATATAATATATCAATTTATTATTAATATTATATTATGTTCATTTTCTTACCTTCTTATCAACCAGAAATCGATAGACTTTTCTTTTGTTGTCGATTTTTTTTATTTGTAACACTTCCTTGTTAATTTTATTGTCGGTTAAGTACGAATTAGTCATCTATGAATTTGCTAAGATTATTTAAAATTTTGCATCATAGAACTACTTTATTTACTTTGCACGACTTAAAATAACAACTCCAATACACACCTTAGACCGTCACCGTAAGTACTGAAACATTACATTCGTGTTCACAGAGTAATTATCAATTGATACTAATCATATTGCAGTTTATCGTTGGGTATTTTCAATTTCAGCGATAAAGACAATACCTAATCTGTTTTAGGCATTAAATTATATATTTTATTAGTGGACGTCGCTATGTCGGTATTATATATATATATATATATATATATATATACATTTAAAATCCATAAATTGAATCGTGGTATAATATAATATTAAGTATACATATAAATATGTAATATACCCTTTCGATTATAAACTTCAGTCAAAAGCATGTTGTATAAAAAATTATATTTTTTAAGAAGATACAATAATACATTTTTTTTTAAATTTATTATACATTTATACAAATTATATATTTTGAAATTATTATTCTATGATAATTATTTAAGTATACTTGGCTTGTGTCTTTATTCATATGTTAAAATTAATTTTTTAAATTTAATAGTAAAATTAAATACTCATTTGTGCTTATATATTATTTAGCCTACCTCTGTAGCATATATTACTATAATATAATATTTACATATACAGTTGATAATAAATTTGATGTTAAATTAAAATGTAGGAGATTAAAATAAAAATCCTTCATAAAACAGCTGGTTAGACATTTATTTGGGTTTGTTTTTCTCTTTCTACAGGTTTTACATGAAGTCATAATTTTTATTAATTTTTAATTTTAACAAAAAAATAATCAAAATATATTATTTAGATTTTAATTTATTATTCGGTACTGATTTGTTTTTTCATTAATATAATTTATTAGCATTTAAAAAATATATTAACCTCTTTTAAAAGGGTATATTTAAATAATTATTTTAATTTTATTAAAAAATATATTTGTTTGTTGTTACACTTACCGCACTCAAGTACATGATATTATTGTTTATTTAATTTATATAATACATTTCTTCAAGTTATATAATTTGAAACATAATTTTACAAACATATTTTTATTTTAGTATATGCGATAAATTATAATATATACCATATTATATGATCTTCATTTTGACATATTTAAAATTGTCTAAAAGTTTTGTCTATGTGATACTTAAAATATATTATATTTTTTGGTATTTTATACTTAAATTTAAAAGTAATAAACATATTTAAAAAAATATTTTGTAGTGTAATAGGTTTAGATAGTATTAATAGATCATTAAAATGCATGAGCATTAATGTTTAAAAAACGTCAAACGGTTTTTAATGTTTTATATGTTTATATAATTAGCTTAGCAAATCCTAAGAAGCTATTGTTCAAGAATGATTCCATGAAATCAAAAAAAAAAAAAAAAATGATCATTATATTCAAATAAATATGTTCTTGTCTATATATATTATATTAACTATCTAAATGAATTAATTTTTCACTATACCTATAACAGAATGTCATGTTATATTTTTTTATTTTTTTATTTGCGGATTTCGTGATACTATTTTATCATTTTAAATCCAATGTTTTTAAACATTTTACCAACTGACTATAATCTATATTGATCCAAGAATCGTTTATGAACCATATTTTCAAGTTTTACATTGCAGGCGTGTATAAGGCTTTATAATTTTAATTTCATGAGTACGTTTTCATGTCGATGAATTCTCTTAAAGTTGCACGCGGCACATTATAATAGTAGTTATGGCTAATGTAAAAATAATAGAGACAATAACGTATCTACTAATATAATATACAAAACTAACTAATTAAAAAAAAATTAATCATCAAACCATTTTATGACAGTCATTAACATTTGTGTTTTGTATTTATTAGTTAAAATACATTATATGTTTCATAATGTTGAGAACATTTTTTTGGGGGTTAAGAGTGGAGTATAGTCTTATATTGTCATATGGGAAAAAAATAATGAATTACAATATTTTTTCAACGTTAAACCAAATTGAACGGATAAAAACAAAATAGTATTATACTTACTATTGGTTATCTAAAATAATACTGACAAAATATTAATAATAATAATAATAATAGTAATGGTAATAATAATAATATTAGTAATTTTAGCATGTCCCCCAACCGTTTTCCTATCGTAAAGTCCCACTCGAGACACGTTTATATTATATTATTATACAACAATTTGCGTGTGAGTTTTTACGGTACAAGCTACGGCGCGGCTCATCGGACCGTTCAGTATAAAGCTAACGTTCGCGTCGACACGATATGTCGTTCGTGTAGTGAGTGCGTTATCACATTTTGCCCGGTCGTGTCTTAACGGTGCGCGTAGTTTGTGTGGTTTGCAAAATTTTTGTTTTTCTCTTCACAATACAGTATAGGTTAGTGTCTGTTTTTTAATTGTTATCTATCAAGATTTGTTATTAACACTATATGTAAAAATATCAGACTTTCTTATATTATCACTAAAATGGTAAATTTGTAATTGTTTTTGTAAAAAGATTGAAAATTATTTTTTCGTAAACCAAATTATGTATTATTACTTTACTCCGTACAGTTGGCCGATGGTTGCTGATTTAAATTTTTCTAATTTTTTTAACTTGTAAAACACTTTACAATAACAATCAAAATATTTTAAATATGATATGTTCATTTATTTATTATTAAATTATTTACCTACATACATCCACTTTTATTTTTAAAGTATTTTTTTAATAAACTAAATTATATAGGTTAAAAAGAGAATCATATATGTATTATTTATTTATTTTATTTATAAAAATTTAATTTCATAAACCTAATTTGAAAATTTGTATGATGAATTTATAGGTACATATAATTGTTATAATGAATTTAGAAAAAAATATTTATAATTTAGTATAAATATTTGAGTGTTTAAATTTCGACTTAACCGTTAGGCCACTGGTGTAATATAAAGTTTAGTTATTTACTTGTAGATGGTTATTTAATTTTGTATTTAATACATACTAAGTATGTTTTTTCATGGTGAAATATTTGTAACTGAACATGAGAATTATTTTATAATTTATTAAGGTTTCAATTATGTATAATATGTTATTTAGACACCCAGTTAGTTCCCAGTGCTTCCGATGATTTAATCAATAAAAAACAAAATAATACTTGTGCGTAAATGATGTATAAATAAAGTTTAAATTATATAACATATAATATAACTGTAATGTTTATATCATTCTATTGTAATATTAGTATTTTATTTGTTGTGTAATATACAAACATACTAATGTTAGCTTTACCGACTTAATATAGGTACACTTATAATTTTAAACAAATTATATTTATACATATTATTTATTTCTCGTTACACTGTATTGGCAAATTAATCTGATTAAAGTAGTTACATGTTGCGTAACTTAGGCCATTTAGCGTAAAATGTCACTTATACCTTTGTTATATTTAAGTCTTTTCGGATTAAAAATCACGAGGTTAATGATATTATATTTAAATGTTATTGTTTGTTTAAGTGTGTGACAAAATATTTCTTTTTGATAATTATATAAATGCTGTAGGATTCCTAATCTTAATGAATACTTTTGAATTGATTTCTACTTTGATGAAAGGATTATCTAATAGGTATAAAAGTTTTTACTATAAAAGCACTTAGTACATATTTCAAAATAATTTTTTTCTTAATTAATAATTCAAAAGCTATCATCATACTATTGTTAATTTTCTATTTTCCGGAAATAATATTAGTATTATTATGTAAAAAAAATATTATTATGGTTTTTTTTTTATTATTACAATAGAATCAAAAATAAAAATTTGAGATTGAAAGCATCCCAGAAATTATTATTTTATTTTTTTTACCATTTTAAAACATTTGTTTAATGTGGTATAACAATTTATTTAGCTATACTAATACATAACTACTTTTATGATGGTATTAAGATATTTATACTTAGACAAAAAAAAAAATTAAAATAGTAGCAAATGATGTTATCTTAGAAAAATTTAACTATTTATTTCGAAATAATTTGAATTGTCTACTCATTTTATTTTATTATTTTATGATAGTGTATAATCTATATTAAAGGATTGATTAGTAAGTCAATATATTTTTTATAGCAACATAATCGTTTTAAGTAATACTCAGTCATAAATTACCATTTCTGTGCGTCTTATTTCTCTTTATGAACATAAATAATAATACATAATATCAGATTCGTTATATTTTAATTATTCATCATTATTAATTATAAATAAATGTCTTAAACCATTTATACCCTTAAGACCACAATTTTAACTCAAAATGTATTATTTATAAAATACCGTATCTTGGCTTTTTTGTCTGTAAATACATTTATAATAAATATATTTTGTTATAAGTGTATTTTAACAATTTTAAATAACAAATGCTGTTAGTTTTTTTTTCTAAAAATATATAAAGATAAATTTTAAACAACATTAAGTAATTAATAAAAAAACAAGTTAAAAAAAAGTTATTTTTCCATAACGTTAAAGTACTAAATTTAAAAACATAATAAAATGAGTATGTATTTTAACTATATATAAAAAAAAAAATTATATTTAATATTCCATACTTACTAAAATATTTCGTTATGGATATACCACACATATTTCATTTCAATAGAAAAATTATACTTTTATAACCTCACGATGTATTTTTAATTACTATTAATGAATAAGTTATTGTAATGTAGGTAGTTAATCATATTTTTTTGGTTTATTCTTTATACTCTTGTTGTATTGTGTATTTGTGTCTAATAAATACGAAAACAATGCGGTCAATTTATAGGAAGTTTTTGTACTTCAATTGTGTTTGCTCATATGTAAATAAACATGTTTTTTTATGTATTCATTCATGTATAGACTGATATTTAATTAGGGTTAATGCAACTTTTGCACTGAATTCATTGAGATACTGCCACATAAGTTTTCACAGCTTTTTTTTAAAATAAAAAAAATT